GTATAACAACATAGCTGGTTAGTTTTAAACACATTAAGAAGGGAATTAATTATTTCAGGTGATGATGTCATGAAGCTGTTTAAGTTCTTACCAGACGTGTGCATAGCTGTCATCAATGCAAACTGTGACTACTTTAAGGAATTGACAGCAAGAAAGATGATTTGCTTTGTTCACACTAAATGGCCTTAACTGTTGTCTCTTCTGAGACTTTGATGATAGGGTGAATCTGGGCTAAATCACAAGTAACATCCTTACTTATCTGATTAGAAATGATAATTTGATTTGAGCATCTATTGCAGTAAGAGTGCTCAGCAAGTGGTAATAGTATCCTTAAGCAAAACAAACACTTGCACTCAAAGGAAGCACATTTATGACTATAACTGAAAGCACATTTGCCATTAAATCCAGTTTTCTTCTTTTAATTTGAAAACTAATCTCATTCCCCACGTGGTGTTTAACCTACAATGGTCTTAATAAGCTGTTTTAAAAACAATAAATTGCTTGCGCACTGCTTGACTGTATTTTTTATGCATTCATCAAACAGGCTTCTTAACATATTGAGGATACTTTTTGTGCAGATCAGTGACCTGGAGGCTGATTATGAGGAGTCTCAGCGAAATATCCAGCAGCTGAAGAAGAAAGCCCAGCGACTGACAGCTGAGCTGCAGGACACTAAACTTCACCTGGAGGGTCAGCAGAGTCGCAACCATGATTTGGAGAAGAAGCAGAGGAAGTCAGTACACAAACACACGCAGTCAAGTTTTACCATCACACAGTTCTATTACTTTACCTACCTCTGCCTGCTTCCTGGAAGAACCATTAGTAATGGTGTAATAACAACAGTAATTGTAAATAAATTACAGTGTTTTATGTGTGTGTGTGTGTGTGTGTGTATTTGAAAGGTTTGACAGTGAGCTGAGTGCAGCCCAGGATGAGGTGCAGAGGGAGAGAAGCCTGAGGGAGAAACTGGCTCGAGAGAAAGACGTGCTGACCGGAGAGGTCTTCGGCGTCCGGCAGCAGCTGGAGGTCTGTGTCTCTGTGGTCTGTGACACGTTGCTTTAGTGAAGGGTTTTTCTTTTCTTGGGACTTGGTGCGTTATTTGTGAATTATTTAGTGTCAGATACCCCAGCATTTTAAAGTTTTCAGCATCCTATTCATATTTAGATTTTGTATTTACTCCGTCACTTATTGTCTTTGAGCAGTGAAGACAATCAGTATGTTTAGATGAGCATGTGTGATCATTGTGAGTTTAAAGGGCGTGTAAAGCTGCGAGAAGAAATTGTTGTTTGGGCCTCCTTTGTAGTTACCAGGGTGGCAGCACAATATGATCCAAGATTACGAGGGGCCATGCAAGCCAAAATTCATACTTTCACTCTCACATAGTTTTATTTTAATTTTTATATTTAGATATTTTTATTCTCATGTTTACACATATTTAACACACACACTGCAATATTGTGTTCTCTTATACATGTATTTTAATGTACATATTTACAAATTTGCACTCTAACATGCCTGCATTTTCATTTATGCATTCCTACATTTTGCTCTCATTTACATGCATTCAATATGCATTTAATCTCCCAAATAATATATATATATGTAAGAAGAGAATGCTCACATGTCTGAAGAAAATATATGTATGCAAGAGAATAATGTATGTGAATGAAAGAGTGTAGTGGAAACGGAAGGCCGGGTGTCTGTACCGCTGTGATTGGCTGAGAAGCACGCGCGGGTCACTTTCAAGTGTCTGACAGCATGGAGGGGGGAGAAGAAACTCGAGTTCTTCAGCGAGCTGTCTATGGTGTTATTTTTGTGCCACTATTCTGAGTGCAAGTAAAAAAAAGTTTGCAGGTGTAAGTGTTGCATTTTGAGGAGAAATTTATTTTGAGCAAAGAAAAGCTGAGTTTAAGTGAACA